GGGGGGGGTGCCTGGAGCCTGTTTTCCTCCAGCAAAGAGAGAACCCTGCCAGCCACGCCTTTCCCTGTCCCTGGCCTTCCAAGGCCTAGTGTTTGGTGGTGATGATGGTGGTGATGGTGGTGATGGTGATGGTGGTGGTGATGGTGGTGATGGTGATGGTGGTGGTGATGGTGATGATGGTGATGGTGTAATGGTGACAGTAATGATGATGGTGATGGTGTAATGGTGACAGTAATGATGATGGTGATGGTGTAATGGTGACAGTAATGATGATGGTGATGGTGGTGAGGTACAGATAATGATGCCACTGTGGGTCATGGTGATAGTGGTGATGGTAGTGCTGATGGGAGATGATGTGATGATAGTGGGGATGAGGGGTGGTGCTGGTGGGGATGACAGTGATGCTGCTGGTGGTGGGGGGCTGAGGGTGGTGATGGTGCTGACAGTGCTGGAGATGACAATGTTGATGGTTGTGATAGTCATGTCATGGTGGTGATACTTCATACGGTGGATTTCTGGGTATGGTGCACTCTTCTGAGATCTCTACAAAACAACTTGGGGGTACTGCTACAGTCTCTTTTGGGCAGAGGAGACAACTGAGGCACAGAAGGTATTTTGGGGGTCCAAATCTCCAGGGTTCACCCTTTCTACTACCTGGTGTGATCCCACAAGAGGTTCTGGAGACAGTGGGTTACCCAGGCCCTAGAATACAGCCCCAGGGTACATGGGTGTGGGAATAAGGGAGGCCAAGTCGCATCACCGTGGAGCATCCAAGGAGCTGCTGGTCCTGGGTCTCTGTCTCACCCTCTGAACAGGCCTGCTGTGGGCAAGTCCCCCAACCTGCCCAGCCTAGTCTGGGCACAGGCACTTTCTGGGTAGGTGGTGAGGGGTTTAATGTGTACCTCCTCGGCATGATCTCCCAGGTCAATCTCCACAAATGCAGATGGTTTCTGTGGGTGGAAATCACAGAGCTGGGGTGAGCTGTGAAGAACAAGACTTCCTGGAAGGGCTGCAGCTCCTGGCCTTGGGCAGCCAGGCAGGCCAGGGCAGGTTCCACAGGGTATCAGAAGCTGGTGATGCTCAGGGTGGGGGTCCTGCCAAGCTGGGTGGAGGGCTAATGGCAGTGTGGCCACGAGGTATCTGTGGGGCTGACTCTGGCAGGGAGCGAGAGGGAGGACTATGGCCTTCCCATCCACCCTACTCACTTCCCATCAGGTACCTGAGACTTCAGAGGGTCTCCCACACCTTCACCCACCAGGGCCTCTGGGCAGTGGCCGTACCTCGGGGAGGTACCTCCCAGGCCTGCTCAGCTGGATTCTGCCTCCAGAGATTCACCTGGAGCCACACTGCACCCAGTGGCAAAGACTCCACTGGGGTGCAGTGGCCCTGCAGTTTAGCTAATAGCTGCCTCAGGGTCTCCATCTGGGCACTTTGGCTGGCCCATGACCACACCAAGGGTGGTCTGTTGTAAAATCCTGGTAAGCAACATGCCCACCCTCTCCACAACTAGCACACGGTCTGAAGCACCCTCCTGCATCAAGTATCTGTGAGAACCCCTAATACTGCATCTGGGCAGGCGGCTCTGGGCGTGTTCTCCTGGCCAAGGGCGGCTGAATGTCAGCTCCTCTCAGGACCCAACTCCGTTAGTGCCTGCACTGTTTGGCAAGTGGGCGAGGATGCGACAGCAGGGCCAGGCTTGGACCCCGGCCTTTCTGGATGGAAGGGAGGGCCGGGGGCAGCTCTACAGCATGGATTCTGCTGAGGTGACCCCAGGACCACCCGTCTGCAGGGCGCTCATGGCCGGGCGGGCTGGCTCCTGTCACCAAAGGAAGCTCTTGCCTCTTTTTCCAGATCATTCAGCTTCGTGGAGTCCAGCTCTTGTTCCTGCAGCCAAAGAAGACACCCACAGGCTGATATCAGCAGACCCCACCAAGATGGCGGAGGGCCCCGGGACCAAGCGGGGCTCACCTCAGCCTCCAGGACGCCGCTGCCTGCACATGCTCCTGCCTGCTCCTCCTTGGTGCTGGTCTCTGAGTCGCTCTTCTCAACCTCTGACTCCGTTTTCCCACATTCGTGGCCCAGGCTTCCCAGGGCATCCTGATTCTTTTCCTTCCTGTCTTCCTCTAGATTTGCCTGACTGTGAGAGAAGGGAACCAGGCAGGGAAGGTGTCATGCCTTTGCCTGGGGTTCCTCGTGCCAGTGCTGGGTAACAGGCACCCAGCTGAGGTGAGTCTGTGAGGGGCCCTTCTGTGGGTGAGGGTCTGGACCTGAGGTCCCCTCCTGGCACTGAAAGCCAGCCACACCCTGAATGACAGTATCCTGCTGGCAACGCTATTCACAGTTAACTGGGCTATCGAGAAAGCAGGTCCCACCTGCTCCAAGGACCAAAATTGCTGTACAGAGGTGACTACCATCAGCAAGTGCATGGCTACCTCTGCCTGAAGACCAGCTGCCATGGAGACTGGGCTGGGTCTGTGCCAGTCACCCGCACCACCTGGGTGACCCTCCCTGCAGCACTCTGCTGAATCTAGGGTGCAGCGAGGGGCCTCTCCAGCATCGGGTGGGGAGACATGGGTGGGGTAAAGGCAAGCGTTTCACTGTTCCTCCAAGAGGACAGTGGGCCTCCTGGCTTAGCCCTGCCGCCCACACTCAGCTGGGCAGGGAGGGTGCTCCGGGACTCCCCCAGGCCCCCTGCCCTCCAGCCACACTGGTGGCTGAGCACCCTGGTCTCCACAAGGCCACTCCTGGCCCATGGTGGTGGGTTGGATTTTGGTATCCAAAAAACATTCTTGGGAGATTCAGTGACTGGAGCCTCCCAGGTGGGTGGAGCAGAGGGCAGTGCTATGCTTGGTGGGAGGCCCGGCTGGGGCGGCCTCCCTCTGTGGAGCCACTGGGCCTGCTCCCACCCAAACAGATGAGACCTCTTTGGGTCCAGCACCTCCTTTCCAGGGTGTCTGTGGGGTTGTTGGCTCTGACACTTGGGCCAGCTGGAATGGGCCGCAAGGAGGGGACAGAGGGTCCTGTTTCTGTGGGGAGTCCCTCCCAATAAACGTGAATTCTTAAACGCCCCCAGGCCCTCAGGTGGATCTTCTCAGGACACCGGCTCCCTTGGGTCCCTCCCAAGCCTGGCCTTGGTGGGGGTCTGTTCTTGCACACACACACACACACACACACACACACACACCTGCTTACCAGATGGTATCATCTGCATCCCTCCTTGGGTCTTGCCCCTGGTCTTCAGACTCTGAGAAGCAAGGACAGTGTTGGTCAGTGCCATTGGCACATGGGCCCTGGCTCCTGAGACCAGCCTGCCCCAGCCCAGGGCTGGCCACCTGCAGGCACGGTCCTGCTCTGAAGCCCCTCCTGGAGTGTGCTCAGGACCACCGGCAGCAGGGGGCGTGGCCATCATGAGCCGGGAGCCCATCTCGCCTGCAGCGCAGGCCTCTCCCAGCTCTGCCCTCTCTGTGGGACTCAGGCCCTCACAGTGAACATCTGAGGCCCGAGGATTAGAAACCCCCGTCCCAGCACAGCGACAGGAACAGGATGGGGAGGGGCCTCTGGTCACCCCAGGCTCCCTTTGCAGGAAGACAGGAGGTGGGAGGGCCACCCGTTCTCTGGCCCCCAGCCAGGTGCTCTAGCAGCCCCCTCTCCTAGGCAGGGCCCAGGAGCACCCTGAGTCTGCCTGAGGCGAGGGGCCCCTGCAGCTTCCTGGCGATTCTGGAGGGATGGGCCTCCACCGCAGCTTCCTGACTCAGGTCCCTGGCACCCGCATGTGGGTGTGCAAGCCCTTTAAGGAGGCAGGTCAGGGTCAGGGTCAGGGTCAGGTGACTGGGCTCTCGGGTGCCGCCCCAGGCCTGGGTGCCGGGGGCCTCTCCTGTCCTGTGTGGCCCCAGCCAGGTCTGAGTGCTGTGACCGCGCTCCCTGCTGCAGCCCCTTCTCCTGCAAACCACCAGGAGCCGACGCAGCCCAGGGAACTCATCATTTACGTGTTTGTTGTCTGGCACGGGGTTGAACGTCGTGATACTCCACCAGTGAGCTCTGCCCCCAGCCCCTTTTAGTTTTTAATTTAGGTCTGTTTCCCAGGCTGGCCTTGGACGTGGGATGCTCCTGCCTGAGCCTTCTGGGTGACTGGGATGAGAGGCGTGTGGCCGGGGAGTCCCAAAGCTTTCAACGATGGTTCTGATGGAAGAACAGCCAGGACACTGGGGACTGGGGACTGCCCTGTCCTGGAGGGCTTCCTGCAGGGACTGGCCAGCGGCAAGCCCTGAGCCCAGCCCAGTGGTCCAGGGAAGACCTGCAGATGGAGGAGCCTTCTGGCCAGCCATCCCTTGCTGGATGCCACGTCCACTCTGCCCGTCCTCCAGGGTCAAGCTCCATGGAGACCAGGCATCCTGCTACCTGCTCCTGCTGGGGGGCTCACCCCTCCTACCCAGGGCATCAGCCTGAGCCTGGGTCCTTTGTCATCTGTCTCAGGGCTGCTGCTTGAGGTGGCTGAGGACAAGACCTGGAGGCCATTCCTGCTGCTTCCTGACCAGCCTGTGAATGGCCTGTCACAGCAGGTGAGGAAGGCCTACCCAGGCGGAGGGGACGCGCCACTGCTCTTGAGCTTACTGTGGGACTTTGAAGTTCTCGGGAGCATCTGGCAAGGAGTGTGGGGGGGTGGTTCCACGGCTCCAGGCAGCCTGGAACCGGAAGCACCCTGTTCTTGGGGACGCACCGGGTGGGTGTCCTCAGGATCCATCCCTTCCTGAGCTGCTGGCCCAGGGGGCCCTCCCGCAGGAGACCCTCCTACCCTCCTACCTGGCTCCCTGCGCAGCTTCCTGATGCGGCTTGGGGGGTCTCCCTTCTGGTGCAAGCCACCCATGCTCCGGCTCCTCTGGAGCTCGGTCCCCTCACTGGCTGCCTTGAGATGTCCAGGGGCCACTCCTGAGGGCAGGGCCCCAGGGCCTGGCCGGTGCCTCCTGTGTGTGGTTGGATCCTTCTCCATTCTGCCTGCGGGAGGAGGGAGCTGTGGCCTGCACAGCCTCACACTGAGGGCATTGCTGCCCCTCTCTCCCTGTCGTCCCTGCTCCAGGGAGTCGCCAGAATGGGGGTGGTTGTCGCGGAGCTGCTGTGACATCACTGCAGGTCAGGGGTCAAGGGTCAGCAGGCCCAGCCCAGAGCAGCCTTCCCACCAGCCAGGGCTTGGAGCAGGGCTCGGCTGCCTGGGTTTCTCCTGCAGATGAGGGTAGGTGGTGGCCTGGGCCAGGAACGTGGGGCTGAGTCAGACTCAGGAAAATGAAGGAGAGGGCAAGGCCAGAGGATTCCTGCCCCAGAGAGGGACGTGGAGGTGCTCTGCCGAGAGGAGGGCTTGGACAGCCCTCGGTGGCAGGCTGGAATCGTGCTGCTGTGGAAACCAGCCTGTATAGGACAAGAGCCGGTGGCTCCACCCGGAACGCACCCCTTCAGCTCTGCAGACTGTCCCTGGCAGGGTCGGGGCGGCGCCTCTGACTGAGGCTGCTGCTGTCGTCTCTGTGTCTGCCCGTGGCCATCCCTGGAGGTCTCTGTCCTGACTTCTTTTTCATTATTTTGTTTTACTTATTTACTTTTTGGTACTGGGGATTGAGCCCAGGGGCACTTAAGTCTGAGCCACTCCCCCATCTCTTTTTTAAAAATAGATATTTTATTTAGAGATAGGGTCTGGCTGAGTTGCTTAGGGACTCACTAAGTTGCTGGGGCTGTTTTTGAACTTGTGACCCTCCTGCCTCAGCCTCTGGAGCTCTGGGATTGCAGACATGCACCACCATTCTGGGCCTGACTCTTCTTATAGGAACCCGGCAGCCGGATGAGGCTCATTCCAGCACCTCATATTACCTCCGGCCTCCGCCAAGGCCTGCTTCCACATGGAGCCTCTGAGGTGCTGGGTGTGGGGTCTTCAACATGTGACTTGGGGGCACATTCAGCCCAGTGCAGCCCCACAGGAGAGCCCTGCTCCTCTGCTCCAGCTGGCCACACAGAGCAGGGGTAGGGAGGGAAGCCGCCCTGCACCTGGAGGGCTGGGTGGGTGAGGCTGTGGATCCCACTGAGGCAGGTCCTGGGGAGGAGTAGGCATGCAGCACCCTTGCCTGACACCAGGGGGCCCAGAGGTGGGGCTGTTCCCGGGGCAGAGGGAGAGCTTGGTGTCACGGGGCGCAGTGGGGGAGCAGTGGGAAGACCAGGATCCGCTGGACCAGGTCTGTGTGGGCGTGCGGTCCTCCAGAAACTGCTGCTGGGGCCTCATCTTCTCCTGGGAGGGGGAGGTCAGAGTACCTTCCTTGCTGGTTTTTTAAAGTGCCTTGGGCTCAAAATAACTCTTCTGCCCAAGGAGCTTACTTTGAGGGGCTTGTTCTGCACCCCCGGGACCCGCTGATGCCCATACCTCCTAACCACCAGCTTACCCAGGGTGAGGCTCATGGCACCTGGAGGAAGCAAGGGAGCCTCCACACACGGGTCCTCCTGGGGCGGCCTGGAGCCTCTTGCGTCCCAGAGGCCACAGGTCACTGGCCCAAGGCTAGTGAGCAAGAGGAATGAGCAGAAGGACGGGTCTCCCAGGAGCCTCTGTACCCCTCCTGGGGAACACGGGGCCTTTAGGGCATCTCCTTCCTCCAGGGCCAGCCTCCTACCTCCGTGTTCCTTCTCACCCTGACTCTGATTTCATACACCCCAGTGTGAACTGGGTCCTCTGGTCCTGGTGCTGCCCAGAGCCCAGCCCGGGATGCTCACCAGGGCTGAAAAGAGGCCACGCCCTCCCTGCCCCACCCCCCGACCTCCTGTGGATGGAGGAGGCCAACCAGGGACAATCCAGCCTCCGCCTTTTGGGCACAGTCCTGAGCCACTTGATGACTCCCAAGAAATGTCTGACTTGAGTCCCAGAGGCAGACCCAAGACCTTCCTCCTGATGGAGCCAACCGATGGAATTAAAAAGAGAGAGGGAAACCCAATGGAGAGAAGGAAGAAATAAAGAAAGCAGAAGCAACTCAGCAAACTCTGTCTCTAAATAAAATTCAAAATAGGGCTGGGGCTGTGGCTCAGTGGTCGAGTGTCCCTGACTTCAATCCCCAGTAGCCCCCCAGCAAAAGAAAAGAAAAAAGGTAAAGAAAAACAAAATGGAGAAAAGAATAAAGAAATTAGAAACCACATCAGCCGTCCCTGGCCCCAGCCACGGGGTCTTGGCCTTACGCCCTTTGACCCTCTCCTGGCCTCAGGAGGGGCAGCAGAAGAGCAGACGGCAGCTCCCCCCGTCCCGGGGTGCCCACCCCTCCACCCCCAGGGCCACGGCTCAGCTCCACGCATCTTCAGAAAGCTCCCGGGGACTGTCTAAAGGCCTGGGCAACGCCTCTCCTGCCAAGTTCCCACCTAAAGCCCCACATGTCACCTGAATGTCACCTGCCAGAGGGATGCCACTTGTCATCAGACCCTCTTGTCACCTGCCACTCCCCACCTGGTGCCCCGACCCAGTGCAGTGACCCGTGGGCTCCTGTGGAAAACAGGCCAGTCCTCAGAAAGAATAAAACCTCTGTTTTAATGGGCCAGTAAAATACATTGCAAATTATTAGTATTTTATAAACAGAAACATTGTTACAAATCCCTGTTAAAAATCGCAGCCTGAGAGCATGTGTCCAGAGGTTCTTTACACTTTCCTCCACTACTTCTGTGACAAGAAATAATGTGACTATCTGTCCCTAGATGGAAAGCCTGGACCAGGAAGTCCACATGTGCCTCAGTGCTTCCCCAGGACCCCTGCCACAGGCCAGGGGTGCTGGAGAGCAAGGTCTGCAACAGCAGCGTGCCACCAAGCGGAAGAGGCCTGCCCTCCTGCCCCGACCTCCTGTCCCAAGACAGCAGCTCTGGCCGTGGCCATGCCCTTCACCTCCTGGGGCTCCCGAGACGGGGCCACAGCAGTCCCTGGGAGACTTCTGGCAGCTGGAGACACAGTTCCTGGCTATCTGCCTCTCAGAGCCCTCTTGAGCAGGTAAAGGTTCCAATCTTCTAAGTTACCTTACATCAAAGAGCTAATTAAAAACACTCCTTTAAAAACATTAAGAAAGACGGCTTGAAAAATGCACTTTTCAAAAATCTTTCCCCAACCTCCCCATGGGGTGGCAGGCAAGTGGACTACGGTTCCCCACACCAACCCGTAGTAGGACAGCTGTGCTGGGACTGGGGACTGACCCACAGTAGGACAGCTGTGCCGGGGCTGGGGCTGGCCAGTCAGCCAGAGGAGACGGAATCTTGCCTCTCCCTGCCTGGACTCTGCAGAAGGGACCAGGCCCCCAAAGCCCAGGACCCTCAGGGATTCCAGCCACCAAACAGGCCCTTCAGCCAGGAGCAGACCGGGAGGCCTCTGTCACAGCCATGGGGGCAGGAGGCTTGCAGGGATGCAGTGACACTGTTCACGTCTGGAGGGGCGCAGCAGAAGAGCCGGGGCCAGGCCAGAGGAGGGATGGATGAGTACTGGGCAGTCCCTGCTTCCTGACCCTTCGTCTGACCCCTGCACCTCCACAGAACACAGGGAATGAGAAGACCATGACCCCACACTCCAGAGGCCAGTCAGAGCGCTCGGCACTGGCAGGTGAGGAAAGCAGGACTCAGAGTTCTGTGTGGAGACATGCGGTGCCCTGGCAGCCAGGACTGGTCCTGTGGGAGCTGCTGGGCTGTGCAGGCTCCATGGGTTCTGCTTCCCTCGCCGCTCAGGGTGGTGGGTGGCCTTGTGTAGCAGGTTGGTGCCACCCTCCAACACTGCACACACTTCAAATGGAATGGGCGGAGATCTCGGACTGTTGTCGGATGTAGTTCTGGAAACTCTTGTCTCCAATGGGGTGCTCCCTGGGAGACGGGGAGAGGACAAAGTTACAGGCAGAAGAGGCTCCCACCCAGGCGCTCCCTGGAAGAGAGGCAGAGCAGAGGCTCCCTCCCTCCTCTGGGTGCTCCCGGAAGATGAGGGAGAAGAGGCTCTGCACTCTGTGTGTCCCTGGAGGAAGTGGGGATAGAGTGCTTCATGAACAGGAGGTCCCCACTCTGGGTGCTCCCTGGAAGGAGAGAGGTGCCGTGTGTATGCCATATGCAGTGTGCACACACGTGTGCAGATCCACACTCAAGGAGGTGCATGCAGCATGCACACATGTTGGCGTGCAGTGTACCCCTGCTGCGGATCACATGTTGTGATGCATGAGGTTCACGTGTGTAGGCTGGACTTGTGTGCACACGGAGTGTGGTACACTCTGGAGTGTGTGTGGTGAGCGTGGGGAAGGCGGGCTCTGTCCACCTGTGGCTGAAGAATGCCCGGTGCTGGGTAGTGGGTGTCTGGGGTGGGTCGCTGCCTGCTCTGGGTGCAACACCTCCCCTAGAACAGGCTTCTGCTTCCTGGGCTGCGGTCAGCCCCCTGGCTTTAGACTGCAAGGCTGCTGACGTGGGCTCCCTGCCAGGTGTGTCCAAGACCTGCCTCAAGGCTGGAGGCCCTAGAGGTGCTCGGGCTCTATCCAGCAGGACGTGGGGAGTGGTCACTCTCCCTGAGCCTCACTTGATCCTTCCCAGAACCCCGGCCTCTTCCCTGCAGGCTCACCCACCCATTCTAGGCTGTGTGCTGGCTCTGTCATGGCGTCCCTTGGCACCTGCTGCATGGGCACAGTCAAGACGCCCACTCCCCTGGCTCTGGGCTCTTCTATCCCTCACCTCATTTCACTCCATCTCCCATGACCTCTGCTCCTGTGCAGAAGTGGGGCTGGGAGCCAGGCTACCTGCCAGCCATCGCTGGTGATGGGTCGGTGCGGTCCACCCGGCTCAGTCCTGAGCATCCGCCCGCCCTACCCCCCTCCCTCCTGGGACAAGAATGTGGCCACTCCAGAGCCAGCCTGTGCCATGACCTGGGAGATGGCAGAGGGCGTGTGATGCAGAGGCAGATGGGCCAGACCCTGGCCGAGACAGGCTGGGGAGGCCCGGCCTCCTCCCCAGGTGGGCACCATCAGAGGTCTGAGGTGGACTGGCCACACCCTGCCCACAGCCCCAACCCTGAGGCACTCACTGACTCCCGTATCTGGTCTTCTTGAACTTGTCCCTCCTGTACTGCGCGTGCTCCTGCTCCAGGGCCCCCACGCCTGCGATGACCTGCTTCAGTGTCTTGTAGGTCTCCTGGGGGTCGTCAATGAGGAACGTGGAGTACTCCTCCTGCTCGGGGCCGTCGTACACAGACTTGCTCCCACAGGCCTCTGTGGGGCAGGGATGTCACTGTGGGTGTCCCTGTGGCCACCACCCCTTCGTGGGGTGTCTGCCAGGGCATGCATTTCCCACGGCAGTGCCCTCGGGGAACGGCTGGCCCTGGGCCCGTGAGTGAGAGCAGCATGGGTGTCCACCCTGCAGCCCCTGGGCCCAGCCTGTCTCGGCCCAGCAATCCTCCCCTCACAGGTCCAGAGAGGACGGCTGTGGGGGAAGGTGGCGGGCGCCAGAGCATGTCCCTGCCCTCCTGGGAGGGCTGGTGAGGGTGCAGAGCCAAGGCTGCTCCGCAAGGCCTGACTAGGCGGAGGGACAGAGCAGGAGGCAGAGGTGGCGTCCCTGAGCCAATCTGTCTCACGAGGACACAAAGTAACAACTTAAACCACTTCTGCCTGGACCCTGGGCCTGGTGCCTGTGAACAGTGTCCTTGAACTGATCAAGGTGAAATGGAGTTCTGGGACCAGGCCCTGCGGGAGACACCGGCTCCGTTTCACATGAGCAGCCTCCCCAAAGCCCTAACAAGCAGGTCCCTGTGTCACTGCACGGATGGACACATGGCCTGCCCCCAGCACACCCGGCAAGCCTGCCATCCCCCACAGAGATGTCTCTACTCTCGCCACCATCGTGACAAGCCGTTCTGCACTGGCCGACCTTCCCAGCCCAGCACTAGCCCTCAGGACAGAATGCCATGACCCTGCACTGAGTCTGCAGATGTGGGGCCACAGAGACCTAGCCACAGGAGCGCCAGGAGGGGCCAGGGTCTGACCACGGCCTGTGGCCAAGGCATGGCAACACAGCCCTCCAGCACCAAAGGCTAGGTCTTGGGCAGAAAGGGACTTGTTACACCAACGCACAGGCCCCATGGTCATGTGTCTGGGGAGACGGTGTCTCGCAGCCATCGGAGATGCCCAACTAGAAGGCTGTCAAGAAGCACCGCGATCTCAGGCAGAGGCTTGGAGGATGCAGGGACTCCACGCCCTGTAAGGTGCATGTGGGCAGAGTGAGCTGAGAGTCTAGCTGCGTTGACAGCAATGAGCCCTTGCTATCAAGACGGTTTGTTGGTTATTGGGAGGAAGGATGAGAGCATAATTGTTTCCATTTGTCTATCTGTCCATTTTTTATTCATCCATCCACTTACCTATCTATCCATGCATCATGCATTCATCCACCCACCTATCCATCCATCCATCTATATACCTGTCTGTTCCTCCCTCCTTCCTCCTTCTTCCCTTGCTCCCTCCCTCCCTCTCTCTCATCTGGCCAACCATCCATCTATCCATCTGTTTATACACCTGTCTCTCCCTTCTTTCCTCCCTTCCCCCTCCCATCTGGCCATCCATCCATCCATCCATCCATCCATCCATCCATCCATCCATCTATCTATATACCTCTTCCTTCCTTCCTTCCTTCCTTCCTTCCTTCCTTCCTTCCTTCCTCTGTCCCTCCCTCCCGTCTGGCCATCATTCCTTCCTTCCTTCCTTCCATCCATCCATCCATCCATCCATCCAACAGGACAAGTACCCCCTTTGTGCCAAGTCCTGGGGTAAAAAGGATGTTTCCTTTGCTCTCAAAAGGCCCCAGATAACAACTAAAAGTGAACAGACCAGAAAGGGCTGCACTTGAGTGATGGGGTAAACCCAGGCCATGGGGCTGGGGGGCTGGAGAAAGCTCCCAGGAGGAACAGACTCACAGGAAGGGCAGGCACTGGCTGGACTGAAGTAGGAGGGCACTCCAGGTAGAGGGTAGAGGCCAGGCACAGTGTGCAGCACTG